GAATTAAGTTTACAATGGAAGTTGAGGAAGATGAACGACTACCCTTTCTGGATGTTGAAGTCATACGCTCATGAGAAAACTATACAGAAAGAATTCGTATGCTGGATTAATCCTTAATTTCCAGCCTGATCATAACTACAGACCTAAGATCGAAATAATAAGGAGTTAGATCATCAGAAGCTTACGACTAACGAACAAAGATTTCTGGGACGAGGCGTTGGACAAACTGACACGGATTTGTCTAAGTAATGGATACCGCAGAGAATTTATAGGGGAAAATGTAGAGGTGATGAAGGGCAGATTTAAACTTGGATTTTATGAAAATCAGATCCGGAATGAGGATAACAACCAAAAGTGGATTTGCCTGCTCTCACCACAACTGAGCCAACAATTGCGACCTTTATTAGGAAAATGGAATATCAAGGTGATAACAAAGAAGAAAACACTTTTTACCGGTCTGCCAATGCAACACGAGAAGACGAATAAACTTGAGTATTCGGGAGCTTATCGCATCAAATGTGGCAACTGTGAGCAGAATTATATCGGTGAAACAGGAAGAAAAATCGGCCTACTCATCAAGGAATATCAAAGACTGCAGGAACATGGATACACGAAGATCAGAACAAGCGGAGCACATTGCACAGACAGGGCACGAAATTTACTGGAAATTGACCGAAAGGAAAGGCTGCATATGGTGAAAATATGAGAAAACTCAAGATCCGGGAGGTCATTGATATACTGATTTAGAGAAATCTATTAAATAGGAGACTTAAAGAAGGCAGGATCAGTGAAAACTTTGCGTATTGCCTAAATGAACTAGGAGAAGACGAGGCAACAGGAAGATCAGCAAAAAGAAGACGACTGGGTCAAGGTAATATCCTAAATTTTAGGAAAAGAGATCGCAAGGGGATGAGAAAGGAAGAATCAAAAGCAAAGAGGAGATGTTTTCAGTGAGCCTTATCAAGACATGTTGAACCACGACATTTTTTGGTTGGCACACAATAGACTAGGACATAGGAAGTGATAATCATGGTATTACAGATAGAAACAGGATAGACGCGGTGGAGACTAAGGTTATTTAGCTAATAATAGACGTGATCCTTGAATCACGACTATTGTTAGCCAACTAGCTCTAGCTTCCATTGTTTCTCTCTTTCTATCTATAATATCAAGTCTATGACTCCCTATGCTCTAGTCTTTTGTGTACCAACCCACAAATGTTGTGGTTCAATATTGAACCAAATCAAAACAAGCTGTACCATAACCTTTGTGGGTTGGCACACAAGAGACTAGGGCATGGCAAGTCATAGATTTGGTATTAGGGCTAGATTCAGGATAGAGACGGCGGGGAATGGAGCTAGTTGGCTGAAGATAGGTCTGTTGTTCCAGAGACGTGGTCTATGTAGCAAAGGGTTGACCATGACATTCAGAGGCTTGAGTCTCGAATTAGTGACCCAGACGCAGAGGAGGGCGATAGTCACTGATGATGCCGATTTTGATGCTGGTGAAACGTTTGGGAATGTACCACGTCCACGGTTCGACTTTGGAAATGATCATGCAGACAGTGGCTCCGGACTAGGTGCGTTCCTCTAAATATTCATACCAATATGACCAAGTTGCAAAAACAAGGTTAAACATCCCCTACACTTTTATGTTTGAGATCTTGCCTAACTACTCCTCTCGCTCCGTTTTAAAATCCTGATCTATTTCCAACAAGTTTCAAAATATATCCTTTCTGCATAATGTAAAAATTTATGACCAAAAGTAATCCAATTATTCGACCCTGAGAGTTTATTTCTTTCCAGAACCTCTTCTATTAAGTCTCTTTAAGCCACGTTTTTTTATTTTCGCCTTCAGATTCATTTACATTTTCCTTTACCTTTATTCATTATTTCTTTTTTTTCAACTTTTTGTCTCATCCATATAACTATCGTCGCTATCATCACCTCGTCTTCTGGCAGACGCTTAGTGCTTTAACTTTTCTACATGCCCGCCAGGTAATTCATCGTGACATTAAGTCGGACAACATCCTGCTGGGTATGGATGGTTCCGTGAAGCTAACTGACTTCGGGTTTTGCGCCCAGCTGTCTTCAGGACAAGCAAAACGCTCAACCATGGTAGGTACGCCCTACTGGATGGCGCCTGAAGTTGTCACACGTAAGCACTACGGGCCCAAAGTCGATATATGGTCACTGGGCATCATGATGCACGAGATGGTTGAAGGCGAACCTCCTTATCTCAGTGAAAACCCATTAAAGGCGAGTGAATATGGTGTCTGTAGGATTGATGCCATTGAATAACAATATGCACTTCATATCTTTTTTGTGAGTCTAACTCATTATTGAAGTAGTGTGACCTCGTTTTCTAAACTTGGTCGTGTTGCCAGGGCAGCCTAGTTGAAGCATCTAATACGAAGTTTTCTTCTGTAGTAATCGGGATAATTCCTTGCGTCGGATCATGGACTTGGTTCATTCCCAGACGTTTCGTCGGCATCGTAATTGACATCGTCACTGAATTTTGCTATTTTTATCAGCAAGCTACAACTCGTCAGAGCTAAGTGGAGTCGCTCCGTTGACCAACTTTCTGTCTAACGGTTGTACTATCAACCCCTGTTACATCTGCCTACTCCCTACCCTCCACTCTATCACAATTTATGATTTATTTATATTCGACTTCTCTATAGGTGTGCCCTTTTTGAGAGATTAGTGTAGCATAATCACACCTGCTGTTTAACTTGCCCCTCCTTCCTCTTTATTTGATGATCCGACTCGGACCTCCTATCCGAATCTCCTAATGTCGCCGAAAATTCATTTCTTATTTTTCTAATGAACTGATTTCATTCAGTTTCAGTTCCAGTATATGTTTTACTCTAGGTGCTATTTCCCAAGCCTTTAATAGCGCATACACTGCGGCTTTACTTAGTAGAGTCCCTAGGCTATGAAATCATCTCCATCGCTCATCTCCTTGATTTAACCTTTTCCTCCTTCCATCGGGTTAATGATAGGTCCGGAACAATCATGGATATGGCAAGACCTGGATCAAGTGACTATAGTTACCTGAAATAGGCTAACTACATCTCATATATGCTCTACAGGTAGTCTCAAAAACCTACTTATAAACGAAAAATACGATGACATTAGTTCTGAGATTTTTTTGCTACTTACCCGTATTTCTCCAGCGTGGACACTAGTTTAGACTTTGCTATGCCTAATAGAGAACTTTTTCGTGTGCCGCTTCGGAAGATATTTTATCCCCCATACCATTAAACCCCATGCGCCTGTGAGCTATGAAATAAGTATGACCGTGGCTATGAAGCTAATTTCGATATTGTTCGATCGTTTACTTTATTAAATAGTATTATTTTGAGGAATATACCCAAGTTAGCATTTAATTATTG